CGTCAACTCCTATATACTATACATATAATAATTTTTGTTATTCTTACAAACCTTATGGCGAAAATGTCGGTCAATGTATGAGTTATATATTTATAGAATTGCTTGAACTCCGATTCTCTGGTTGACGTTTTGCACCTGAAAGTATTTCCATGGCTTTTGTCTTGGCAAGTTCCAAGAATTTGAAATGTTCGGCTACAATAGAACTTGGGCCTTTCTAACCCCAACTTCAACTTACTTTGGTTTCAAAACTTTTTTTCGATTGAATTTCAGTTTCCTATTGCGAAACGAGTGGAACGTGAGTGAACTAAATGTTTATTTAGTTTCTCTGAAACAACTTTTGTATTTGTTGTTGATTAAATTTCACTTTCATATAGCGAAACTTCCAAACAGCTGCGGCAAGGTAACATATACGTACATACGTATCTAATGAAAATGTAATATAGAGGGCGTTCAATACTTTGCATAGTCCTGATACATATAATTAATCAGGCAGGCTCTGGAATGCGAGTGAAAGTAGAAATTAAAAAATTAAAACAAAAACGTGTGAATTTGGTATTAGTGTTTAAGAAACACAAAATTTRTTCATTTCGTTCTTGTTTTTATATTGACATAGGAGTGAGTTCAAGTTTTAAAAGTATTAAAAAAATAAAATGCATCGGAAAAATAATAAACAAGTTAGAAAGAACTAAGTTCGCATGTAACCGTACTTATTAATTAGTTAAGTAACTATATTTTACTTCCCGACATTGAAAGTAATATAAATATCATTGTCAAGTAAGATAAACAAGGTGCGTTCCAAAGTAAACAGGACTTAAAAAAAAAATCTGAACAAATGGTTTTTTCGGCAAAATCAATTTATTTTATTTAAAAGTCAATACAGCTTTTTGCACGTTACAAAAGCATGACGAACGAGTGTTCTAGCTCGTTGGCCGGTATGGTCGCCAGTATGCCGGTGCAAACCTTTTAAATGGTCTCTACGTCTGCATAACGCTTTACTTTCCTGGGCAAACGCATTTTTCCGAAAAGGAAGAAGTCGCACGGTGCCATATCAGGTAAATTCGGGGAGTGGTTAATGGTTCAAATATGATTTTTGGTCGAATAATCGTCCTTCGAATGTTGGATTCTGAGCAATTTTTGGTCGTCAGTTAATTTGTGCGGAACAGACCGTGCACACTCCTTTCGTAAGCAGTTTTATAATTATATAAATACAAACATATAATATATGGAGTAAAGTCAGCCAACTATTTTAAAAGGTTGAATATCAGTTATATGGAGCCAAGACAAGTCTGCGTCCGATGTTATTCATTTTAGGCACGATACTACACTATTATTGGAAAAATATACTCTTTCAATTTCATTAAAATATATACATAAATCACAAATGAGCCGATTCATGAGGTATAAACAAACGAAAGTTCGAAAATCTTTATATTATATTTAATATGGGCGCTAAGCAAAGTATTGATCCGATCCCTTAGACAGAAGGGTATATTATTACCAAATAAACATTTTTTCAGAATTTCAATAACACTGGGTCCACATATTCGGTATGTGGAGTCTTATATCGTCATAGTCCGATTATATCAGTTTTTAGACCTGAGATGGCATACTTTAAATGCACTATTTGAGCAAAGGTTTACCCCAACATATTCATTATTGCTTGATTTGTGAAATAGAAAGTGAAGAATCATATAGATTTTAAAATTTTGCTATATGGGTAGCAGGTTGTAGACCGATTCCGCCCATTTCCACAATGTGATTGTTAAATAATTAATTTTACCAGCGGGTAGAGTTCTCAATACTTTATTGAGATGAGTACCATCAGCACTGAGTTACAATCAGAGTAGAAGAGAGTTGTACTTACTTGTCCTCCGGTATTTATAGGAGTACAAANATGGTTTTTTCGGCAAAATCAATTTATTTTATTTAAAAGTCAATACAGCTTTTTGCACGTTACAAAAGCATGACGAACGAGTGTTCTAGCTCGTTGGCCGGTATGGTCGCCAGTATGCCGGTGCAAACCTTTTAAATGGTCTCTACGTCTGCATAACGCTTTACTTTCCTGGGCAAACGCATTTTTCCGAAAAGGAAGAAGTCGCACGGTGCCATATCAGGTAAATTCGGGGAGTGGTTAATGGTTCAAATATGATTTTTGGTCGAATAATCGTCCTTCGAATGTTGGATTCTGAGCAATTTTTGGTCGTCAGTTAATTTGTGCGGAACAGACCGTGCACACTCCTTTCGTAAGCAGTTTTATAATTATATAAATACAAACATATAATATATGGAGTAAAGTCAGCCAACTATTTTAAAAGGTTGAATATCAGTTATATGGAGCCAAGACAAGTCTGCGTCCGATGTTATTCATTTTAGGCACGATACTACACTATTATTGGAAAAATATACTCTTTCAATTTCATTAAAATATATACATAAATCACAAATGAGCCGATTCATGAGGTATAAACAAACGAAAGTTCGAAAATCTTTATATTATATTTAATATGGGCGCTAAGCAAAGTATTGATCCGATCCCTTAGACAGAAGGGTATATTATTACCAAATAAACATTTTTTCAGAATTTCAATAACACTGGGTCCACATATTCGGTATGTGGAGTCTTATATCGTCATAGTCCGATTATATCAGTTTTTAGACCTGAGATGGCATACTTTAAATGCACTATTTGAGCAAAGGTTTACCCCAACATATTCATTATTGCTTGATTTGTGAAATAGAAAGTGAAGAATCATATAGATTTTAAAATTTTGCTATATGGGTAGCAGGTTGTAGACCGATTCCGCCCATTTCCACAATGTGATTGTTAAATAATTAATTTTACCAGCGGGTAGAGTTCTCAATACTTTATTGAGATGAGTACCATCAGCACTGAGTTACAATCAGAGTAGAAGAGAGTTGTACTTACTTGTCCTCCGGTATTTATAGGAGTACAAATGATTTTAAAATACCGTAACTTCGAAATATTAACAAATAAAGATAATAACAAACAGAAATGAATGATAAAGAGATATGAGAAGTAGAAAGCTTAGATAAAACAGTATTGCCAGATCAGACTTAACATTATTTAGAAAATAAACTTAATTAATATAAATAATCCTAAACAGTGATCGTCAAGATTATATTGGGTAGTCGACAAAGTTTTTTCGTTTTTGTAATCAAATTTCAACTTATTATTTTATATTTATACTGATAAATGAATAAACAAATACATATGTACCATCGCGGTTGACTACTTTTTGTGATTTTTCCGCTAGAGACATTATTCCATCAGTATAAATCGAAATATCGAATTCTCCAGAACGGAAGGGAGCGAAACATTGCGAATTTCTTCATTATTTTCAGTAATTTTTGAACGGCTGTAACTTTTTTCAAGTTTTCCGATTTTTTGGTTAAATGAAGCTTAAAATCTCACTTTTTCAACACTTTATGGTATGACACAATGTTATTGGTAGCACTGGGAATATACGACTGCAACAGCTATTGAAAAAATACGAAAATACTTTTTCGACTACCCAATATTGCTGAATTTAGTCTGGTCAAGTAGTTCCAGATATATGTGATTTCACCTAAATAAATAAATAATAAAAGTAACTGGTGTTTTTTGTTTAGACGTATGGTTTTCAAACGTTTTCGAATTGTGCAGGTTTGTTAGCGAAGTAATAATTCGGTTCGGATCGCGCGCTGCGTTGAATATTCGGCCGAGATAATCGCCCAACAGTCAGTAATTGGAGTAGCCATGGATTGGTTTCGCACTACATTTACTTTAGTGGAGAATAYGTATCCTCAGAGAAGCCAAATTGTTTTTCTCTATAACGTATGTTCTGTCAATTGCACAGCAAACATTTTTGGTAATTTACATATAAAATATTAATACATACGCAAMCTATGTATACGGAACTATGTATATGTGTTCTGTTGCCCTGTTAGCCAAGAGGGGTTAAAAAGCTTGTGAAACAGTAGGTTGAAAAAAGTCATTAGATTGCCATAGGCCGCGTGAAAATTGCTCAACGTACACAGCCGTATTAGTTTCGCAGGGATACCAAATTCAGACATCGCGGCATAAAGCAGCTCCTTTTCGTGCTGGCTGAATCAGAGAACTTAAAGCATGAGAAGATGCAAATTGAATTCTGTATGATGTTTGATTTGACGGCTAACAGAGCTGGTAGAATTGTAGTGAGGAATTCACCATTCACCAATGAGCACGTTCAATGGCAGAAATATATGTAAAAGGAATGAATTCATGCGAGAATAAATAAAGAGAAATGATTTCAAGAAAAATTMACAAAGTCACACAGAGAATGTAAAAAAGCATTCTCTGAGTGACATATGCGTGATTATCTTGTATTATATAAACCATTGTTTWCCGAAAAATGGTAAAATTTTAAATTTTTTTTAAATCGGGAAATGTTAAATAAAAAATATTTTTAAAYAAATTGTTATTTCAAAAATTATATTAATTTCGACTATTATAAAATGAAGATGTACCAAATGAACTTCATTTCTTCAAAGAAATGATGACCTTCATAAAATATGCATATTCGCATTATTTCGTTATCATTTCCATATTTGCAGCAATAGAATTACTATGGCGTATATAGTTTCGGTGACCATCCGCACTGTTTTTTGCAGGACCGTATTGTTTTTCAAACCTTTGCCCTGCGTAATTTTTCGAGACAGAAAAACCTGAAAATGTACTGCTTTTTCCCAAGTGTCCTGCCTTTGTCCCGTATTTTATTCGATACTTAAAAATGTACGGTGGCAGCCCTTTACCAATCAAAATGTAGGCAGTTATCGATAATAACTTCCATTTCTAATGAACATATGTTTCTTGCAATGCAATTTTCGTGAATGCTGCGCAACGATTGACCATCGAACAAGAAATAGCAAACAAAATTGGTAAGTCTTCAGAAAATTGTTTGGACACTTCAATTAAATACTCTTTTTTATTGTAGCGTTATGGCTCCACATAGAAAATGTACTTTCAACAATAATAAAAGTACGCGTTTATAAAAAAAGGCTGCACATGAGAATRAAGTGAAATGTTTGAAATGCAGTGTTGTTTTTTCGATTGCTAATGGTGGTAAATGTGATATTGAACGCCATTTGATATCGCAAAAATATCGTAAGGCTGATTTTGAAGCTTCAACCAGCCAAAGCCAAAAAAATCTTTTTCATAAGCTTAAAGAATCTACCGGTAATATGCTTATTGGAATAAATTGTGCTACGCACATTATTAATAATTGTATTCAAGCCTCAATAGATTGTCTGCCGATAGATATTGAAGTAGTTGTAATTAAAATTTTTTCGTACTTCTACATACATATGTATATACAGTTAGAGTTGAAAATTTAAAGCAAATATGTGACGCAGTTGATGTTGAATACAAAAGATTACTTGGATTTAGTAAAACCCGATGGCTTACTTTATAAACCATTGAAGGAATATGTTTTCAACAACCCGAATGCCCGACTATTTTATACAATTTTTTTTGGAGATCCTGCATCCGAAGCGTGGCTTTTTTTTTGCACATTTTCAAGCATCTCTTTTTCACACTTATATTCTTCAAATTGAGTCCCAGAAAATCTTTATGATAGAAGTGGCCTTACTTATTAAAGAACTCAAATTTAAAATAACCAAACGCAATGATGAAATTTTTATACATCTAGTTGTAAGGAATTTAATTTCCGCGTTGGATAAAACGGGAATGAAATGTGCAGATGAATTTAATAGTAACTCGACAAAATTTTATAATAATTGCATTGATTATTTAAATCAGTGGGATCAAGCCTTTAAAGACGTGGAAGTGATGGAATGGGTACATCTGCGTAAATTACCATCTTGGAATTCTGTGGAAAGAAATTTAATATACGTCATGGAAATCAGAAATAAAACTGATGTAAATGACGATGAATTAGTTGACGAGTTTTCTTTCGTTAAAAATTATTTGACTTCCGGTAAATTAAACGAATGGAAACCAGTGAAAAAACTGTAGTAGATACATATATGGGTTGAAATACTTATGCATTTTAAAAATAATTCTATACCTTTTAAAAATATTTTAAAAGTTGTTGAATTTGCGTTGTGTTTGCCAGGCTCAAATGCCCCAACCGAAAGAATCTTTTCAATCTTAAACAACGTGTGGACTGATGAAAAATCCCAGATATAAGTGGAAACTATCAAAGCAATATTAATAACAAAATGTAACTATGATCTTACCTGCCTAGAATTTAAAGAGTATTTACAAAATAAAAATCATTTATTAAAAAAAATGTATAGTTCAGAAAAATATAAATAATTAGATATACTTAATATATCTATTTAAACCATTTTCCCTACAGTTCTTTAATGTTCGTAAATTTTGTATAAGGTTTTGTTAATTTTACAATTACAACCATATAAACCCACATTTCAAACCTTAAACAAAAGAGATACAAATTAACACATCTCCGCGCTGTGAACCTTCTCTATGATAGACG